CCTAGCCCCCAGTCGAAGCTATTCTAAAAGTGAGGCAACTAAGCTAAGTATACCTCCTGAAACTCAAAAACGAAGTCGGATACCAAGAAGGGGCAGTGTGATATGACTGTTTCATGGAACGAGACACTTAGATCCACTTCTTAAACCAGCGGAGTGGACCAGCACATCACAAACACCATGTGTTGAATAGGTGAAAATTCAACCGTCGTTCTTGATGGTGTTTGCCATGTCTCCCAAAGCAATGTGGGACGCAGGAACGATGACTTGCACGTGCATGAGTTTATACTGATATTAGGCTTGCGCTGAATTTATCGCACTTTTCTCCCTCTTTCACCCGAGTCCGGTGTCAGGCCAAGCACACTTAATCTTCCAAATGTTTCCCTGCTTTTGTTTTGAATTTATTGCTAAGTGGTCATAAAATGCCAGAAGTCGTACATAATTTTGAAACCCCAAAGTTGTTAAAGCATGTTGGTTCTGACGTTTACAGATCAGCTCATATGATCTATTTTTCGAACTCACTACAAATATAGGCCGGTCTACCCAAAAAGCTAGTGTAAGGCCTTGAATATGAGACTCTAACCTCGCTCTCAACTTTTTGTCTGCTTTCATACTTTTTTTGTAAATCACTATCTGTTACTGGTCTGAAATTAGGTTGCAGTTGGCCCTTCCCAAACCATCTATCTGGATCTGAATACGATCCATTGTGTGTTTTTCTGTCTCACGAACGTATTTCATTCACTCCACGCGTCCAACAGAAGCTTAAACTGCACTCTCACCGTTTTTTCCTCTCTAGGTTAATGAAGTCGTCAACACCCCCTATGAGCCCATTCCGGGTTCCTGTACTCCCATCGTCTACTACTGCGAGCAATGGGTCGAATATCTTCGGATCATCAATACTCCGACCGTCAATTCTGTCAGGCAAAGTAACCACCACAGTGGATAGTGTGTCACCGCTTCCTGTATCAAAGGAACAGTCACCACCTGTCAGCACACAGCCCAGTCTCCCCCCTCCAGTTTTTTCGTCAACTGCTCCCACCATTGCAGTTGCGCCTTCAAATTCTGAGTATGTTTTTGGGCAGAATATGTTTTCGCGTGTAGTTAATGCTGCACAGACTTCATCCAGCTCCTCCAATCTCTGGCAGGCCGCCAGTTCAGTCTCAGGAGCTGCCACTGACAAGGAAGCAGAATCTTCAAATTCCCCAGCACAGTCGTCGTCTGTGTTTACCGTTCTGGCCAAGGCCGTCGCCTCGAATAACTCAGCAAGCGCTGCGACTGTGGCCTCTGACCACCCAGTGGAGCTGAAGGAATCAGCTGATGAGTTGGTACGCAAGCGCAACCTTGCTCAGATAAAGCTCACCGAAGCTCCCAGTATGACCGGTGAGGAGGGTGA